ACTGTATGAATCCACTTTTTTCCGACACACCGCGGGAAAGTTGAAAAAGCGCTCGGAATATTTTGAGATTTTATGAAAAATTTTGCGTTATATTTCGTTCAGGAATATGAGTAATGTGGGCGATGCGTTTTTCTGACTAACATCCACTATTCCTATTTTATGCGTTGAGCGTAATCCCTAAACTCAGTTCATTGGACGGAGCGAGCGTTTGCACGAGCACGGATGTTTAATTCACGAAACGTAAAGCAGAGTTATTACGGGTGCTTCATAATCCACGAACTTGATTTTTCGTAAGCTACGGAACTTTTAAATAGCGTAAAATTATGAATTACGCTTAATTTCGGTATGAGAATAACGAGATGTTAATTAAAATATGAAATATTAGAGATGCAGAAGCGAAACTTGGAAATTTACATGATGTGTTACAAAGTTCAAAAAGATCCTTACATGCCGTCAGTCTGAATTAACTACATGGATTTTATCTTATATCATAATATTAAATTGACGAGACGCAATATAAATTTTGATACACAATTTTATCCAGCGGGATAATAGCCGTTTAACAAAGTAGTTTTCATTTTAGCGAAAATCGAAAAAAAAGTAAAAATAACAAGAAAAAAAAATATTTCACGTTTTTTTTTTTCCTTCGACACCTCGGAGCTATTCGACAAGTATTTGCTCGGATAACAAAGGGGAAACAATTCTCATACGAATGTTTTCGAGGTCGTACACTGATCGATTGTTATAAAATTGGTTCACACGTTCACCCATGCGCTTTATTCGGTTTGTTTTGTGATCAAAATAGATAGTAAAAAAAAAAGAAAACGTTCGCTTTCCATCGTTAATACGCGTTATTTACTCGTCACTGCCATCAAACGGGCCACTATTTACGAAACGTTAACTGGCGAATAATTCATTTACGAAAAAAAGGCGGTTTTTTTTCATGTTTTTATCCATTCTTATACGTACGTTCGCAAACTCTTACGATTGTACGAATAGAGAGAGATAAATTTGGGCGATCGTATATATAGACGCAACGAGACGGAGAGGTTAACCGGGCCACTCGACGTATTGAACGTTCATTTAAGGCATCGATTCGCCTTAATTACAAGCGCAAATTCGCGGACTCCGCGCGACTCTGATTTAAATTATTCCACGCTTAACGACGCTTTTACTACGGGTTCGTAGTCGCGATAACGATAATTCTCCCGCCACCCTTGCAATGAGACACACTTGTGCACGGCCGTACAGAGGTACACGTGCGCAAGAGAGAACCTTATTTTATGGTCACTTTAAGGAGCTGTACGAGCCGTGGTCGAGCTTGCAAATTACATTGAGTGCGCGTCTCGACGGTGTAAATCGAATCGGAAGTCCTTGAGCGCGCGGTTTTCCACGGAGATGCACGTCTGATTATTCAGAGGTGTTTACTACTTGAACAAGTTTCCAAGTTAAACGAATCGATATTCGCGGTTTTAAATCGAACGTTATAATCTCAACTATCATAAATATTTCTTATCATTAATTTTTTTCTACGATTTTTTATCCCATATTTAAACAATAAAATTAAGTATTGGGTTGGAGAAAAAGTTCTGCGGTATTTTATTAGCTCAAAATTATATATATATAATATCTTTGTTAAAGATGATCAAAATGTAAATTTAAGAAAAGGGTTTTAAAGCTTGAAATCTCTACTTTCGAATGGTTAATATATTTTTTGAATTTATGTGAGTTTTGTAATTTTTTTATATATAGAAAATTACGAGCTCAAAAAAAGAGAAATTTTTCTTCTCACTTTGTGGGTCTGTCACGTGCTAAAAAAAATTGTCAAAATTTTCCACTATCTATATCGTGAAAGTTTGGAGGTTTTTTTATAAAATCGTTTTTTTTAAATGTTTCTACGATTTTTTTATTCTTGAGTTATTCGCGAGTTAAGTAAAAAGGAACATTTTGAATTTGATTGCTCATAACTTTATTAAAAATCATCTTACTGCAATTAAAAAAACAGATTCTTAAAGCTGAAACGTTGCTCTATCGAATATTATGCTAATTTTTTAAATGTAAAATATATAAAAATTTGAAATTAAAAATGTGTGTGATATTACTATCCTTATAATCATTGCGCAATGGAAAAAAGGACAGTAATATCATTATTTTTTAAATTGGCAATTACACCACTTGATAGAGCAACGTTTCAGCTTTAAGAATCTGTTTTATTAATTACGGTATGATGATTTTTAACGGAGTTACGAACAATTAAAATCAAAATGTTCTTTTATTTAATCCGCGTGTAACTTGATAACAAAAAGTCGTAAGAATATTTTTTAAAAACGAACTTTTAGAAAAAAATTTTAAGCTTTCACGTCAGATAGTCGAAAATTTCACAACAAATATATTCTGTATATTATAATGTATATAAGAATAATTATATTCTGTATTTGAGCTAACAAAATTCCGCAAAATTTTTTCTCCAGCTAAATATAAAATAAAGTCTGAATATAAAATGTTAGATTAATAGCTTATATTTAAAAAACAGCCTTTTTTGCTGTAAAGAACGATATATGACATGCTTCATACTAACAGTAAATAAAATAACGGGACCCTGTATGTTCCTAGTAAGCTTTGCGATTTTTTTTTTAATTTTTTGCTGAGTCCAGAAATGAAAATTAGTGCTCACATTTAAAAGAAGGAACATTTCTGAATGTTAATAAAAAATATGAGACATATTCAAATATTCATATAGGTAGAGTAGATTTAAAAAGAAGTAGCATTATGCGTATATATTGAATACATATGTACTTAATATGACCTAAGTATATTCCTTTCTTATGCAACAAAATATTAGAAAAATAGAAAATAAAATAATTCATTGTTACTTTTATAATATTATAAGTTTATTAACATATTGACATAGAAGAATACACAAAGAACTATTTTCCAAGCAATGCACTTATTTACTTATTTACTTATCTGCTTATCTACTCACGATGTTTAGTAAATGAATTAAAATCCATAATCTGAAATAATAACAAGAGTACAAAAAAACATTACAATCGATGTGTGTACTATCAATATGCCTAGGTTGACCACATTAATTCCACAAGAGGTTTCTTCTCTTTGATTATAAACAAAACGTGACAAAAATATAAACTAGATATATAGTATTGTAAAGTATGAACATAGAGCTACGATAACATCAACTACTGAAATTAATAACAATCTTCTGATAGTTTAGGAAACAATTATTTATCTATGAAATATTACATCGATATCATATCACAACAATCTGCGTTTTGCTTCACTGACGATAACAGAATAAACAAATTGAGCAATATAAACTGATGCAATCGAGTCAGGCGAACAATCTGCACCACAATCTGCTATCTGTTGAATTAATCGTATAATACGAACAAATAGGTGTTTTGACACACCTATATTGATTCCAGTTGTCTTAATTAATTATTAGATAGAAGATTTAGAATTTCATTTTAAAAAATTAGAATTTGTTTATGAAGAATAGCTACAAATACGTATCTTTAAAAAAAATTGTTTAATTTAAAAAACTGATAGATGAAGTAGTACATTAAAAATTGTATTATCTATATGCGCATACATTATCTACGCATATCATCCATACTACTTTAAAAGTTTCATCATGCATAAAATAAAGTTTCTTAGTACTGACATATGTGTTTTTGATACATTAGATAAAGAAGACAGTTAATATATGATATAAACAACATAGAAAAATGAGAAAGTATAAGATCCTTATTTATTACTTGCGTACTTCCTTATATAAGTTGCGGAAATTTATCTAACACGTATACATTGAATAATTCAGTAAAACTCTAACATAATGATGATTCTGCCCTCAAAAAAGATAGAAGTCACTTCTTTATTGTTAAAAAAGTAGGCCTATCCCTTGAGAAGGATAACGAGAAATTGATTGAGAATTTCGTCTGATTAGCTCTGACCCTCCAGATCAGATGATAGATACGCTTTTAATATATAGGGGTTGAACGGTTGCTTTCGCCGCCATTGATGACAGTGCGGGTAAGCAAACGATCGTGTCGACGAAGAAAAAGAGAATAAATACGACGAGTGTCGGCGGGGTGGACTGGTGGGAACTGGGGACCCCCGATGAACGTTATCATAATGTTGTTACAGACCTCCGTCGATGGGAACACGACCACCAGCGTTTTATCTTTCATGACGACGAAAGCAGACGCAGGCAGACGCTTGTCGTGTCAAGCTGAAAATCAAATCATGGGAACCTTGCCGATAGAGGACGAATGGGTACTCCAGATACAATGTAAGCTCATAAACGACGACAGCCCCGAATCCGGCTCTGTTCCCCGGAGCGCGCTCGCGCGACGCTCTTTCCTTATTTATTCAGACGCCGGGGATTCCGGTCGATTTTGACGATTTATCGAAGGTCGTGATTCGCAGATACGCCAGAGACGCAGATCCAGCTCGGCACGTCGCTGAATCCTAACACCATACGCGAGGGCACGGACGTCTACTTCGACTGTCTCATACAGGCCGAGCCGTCGGTGTACAAGGTGGAATGGCGACATCAGGTGAACGGAAACACAATTTTGTAGCGAAAATTGGTTGGACGTACTAGTACATATTAAAGCCGATGTACACTGATTTAATCTGGGGTGTAAAAGTGAAATGCAGTATTTGAATTATAAAATATATATTTTACCAACAACACAATACAATTTATTGAGTGTATTTCACAATTCAATCCATTTCTATATTTATATCAAACACACATCTTTACCGCAATTTCAATACAGTGGCCTTTATTTGCATCAATCGCACTGAGTGCGTCCAATTAAATTTGCTATTATTCAGGCGGAAGCTATAAATGTTGTTTTGGCTTCCGAGTACTTGATACTTTGGAGTATCTCCTTACTTTGGAAGACAAGCATCGGCAATGCAAACAGAAGCAAATATAAATGCACGTAAAAGTGGACAAGATAATCAATGGAGAGATTTCATTTAGTAGCATAATTTGATGTATACAGATACTCAATAATGTATCAAATTATTACGAAGCTTAATTATTTCAAAATGAAATATGAGAGAGAAAACATTTTAGAAAATCACCGGCTGTTGAATAATAAAAACAAGTTGATTTAAACATTTTTCAAGAAATAAATTTAGCAGAGAAATCGGAGACGCAAAACTTTACAATAATTTATTCAGCGAGATTTATTTAAAAGTTTTATCCTTAATGAATCAACTTTACGTTAACCAATTAACGTATGTACAGCATCCACGCGCGAAGTAGAATTTATCATAATTATACCGAGGTTTCTCGGTACATAGAAAAATATTTCCCAGAGAAGAATTTCTGAAAAAAAAATCATAATATATTTAGTGAATCATTTTCCGGAGATGTAATCTCCGCAAATACTCTCTCACTCCATCTCGCTGCGAATTATCATTAATCTATTTCGAAGATGCGTAACAATGTTCGTCGTCAGTAATTCGTCCGTATCTCTCGCTCTCAGAAAGTTCTAAAACCCGAGTGTCGTAAACAGATTGGTCTCTCGCCAACTAACAAGCTTGATTATGCCTGTATTCGCTCGTGCGCCACGCAAGAGCATCGACTTACGTTAAGACCGAATATAAACTTCGACGCTCGAAGTATCAAACTTTTATAATAACTTCCCGCCACCTCTGTCGCGATGATCACTCTTATCTTCTTATTCTCGTCTCTAACAAATGAGAGGTTGTATCACCGTGGTTTATTTACGCGTTCGTGTGCTTATCACATACACACACAGAAAGTAATTCTCGTTTCCCCCAAACGTAATCCGTTTAATGTAACGGCGAGTGACGTCAATTGTCGTGTTTCTTTCAGGGCAAGGCACTCCATCACAACATCACGCAAGGCATCATAATCAGCAACCAGAGTTTAGTGCTGCAGGGAGTTGATCGTAAAAGCGCTGGCAATTACACGTGCGTGGGATACAATACTGAGGGTGACGGCGAAAGCTCGCCCTTTTATCTGAACGTGATGTGTATGTATTCTTACATTTACAGCGTTAATAATAGAATATTGAATAGGACAGACACAGCGGAGAATTTATTTATCGGAACGTATAAATTAAATTAGGAATTGTTTTAAAGTCTGATTATTTAGTACAAAGTGATAAACAGAAGCATAAAAGCCAAATTGAATTTAAGTGCTAAATAATGTTTATATAATGTCAGTAACAGATATTTATCACTTTACAGCTGTGTGATTACAACTTTGTATTTATTTTTTATATTTTTTTATACACAATTATTTATTATTTAATATCTTTTCTAACCAACTTTACCGTAATGCTTTTGCAGTTAACACAAAATAAAAAACATTAATCAAAAGTATTTTAGTATACAGAGTGATTCATTTTAATCTTAATAGACAAATATTTGGAAAATATTTGCTCAAAAAACATGCCAAACAAATATAATGAAACATATAGACATTAATACTTTATCGATTTTAATCTATTATTCGGATTACTACAATCCTAATACATGACTAAATCCTCTTGATGTAGCTAAGTAATAATTCGAGTTATTTATCATATTTCAATGTACGCTGAAATATGGTTGTTAATGCTTATCGGATTTTATTCGGATTATTACAGTACTAAATACTGTAGTGAGTCTTCTCGATACAGCTACATTCATAATTCGGATTATTTATCGCACTAAGAATGCGAATAATAACGAAACGATGGTACGAAGATTCTAAACGGAAATGTGTTCAATCGACTTCAATTAATAATGGATTATAATGAGTAAAGATTCGGTACTCACGTAAATTCCCGCTGTGAAATTTTAATTCCTGGCTTATACGTACATCTATACGTCCCTCGTGAATTGCGTGTACAATATTATCAGGATACCCAGCTGTTTATTCGTTTGCGTGCAGATTATCGGATGTGATATCGAAATATTTTGCAATAGTTTTGTTAATCAATATTTGAATTTATTTGAAAGCTTCGAGTCAGATGGGTATACGAAACGCAAAGCGTATTATTGTGAAGCTCGCATATATTTAATATAGAAATTTCCAGTTAAAAATTACAATAAGCGCATTATTAATACTTTATTCAGCAAGCTGTAAAAGAAGATAATAAAAGGATAAAGCTGATTTGGAGAATGTCTAATTTGATTAATAATAAAATTACTTAATACTGAAAATTAAACTGTCTGACCAATTATTTAAAAAAATAATATTGAAGTGGATTTTGAGGTGGATTTTTAAATTCTGATTTTATTTTAGCTCTGTTATTATTATTGCGGAATTATTTAGCATTGGAATTAAAATATGCAAATTAAACTTTATTCATTTAAATAGACGACAGTAACTTCTCACGTCTAAAAAGTTATAAGAAATACTTTAAAAATATAATTTGTGACTGAATTATCAAGATAGTAAAAGTTTAAAAATTTCGAAATAATATTTTTAATAAGAAAATGTTAAGCCAGATTTCTTAAGAAATCTTTCTAATAATGGAAACTAAGATAACAATAATATCTCGATAATTGTACATCCTGTTTATAATCGAATAGGTTTCCTTATTAGATCTTCATAAGGAACTTAAAATAGATCACGAAATATCGTTCTAGCGAATTTAACGGTAGCATAAGAAATTCACGAGCCTTACAAGACGAAGATATCCTTCGTATCCTTTGCGCCCCAATTATTATTTATCGGTGACGTTCGACGTTCGTTCCCGCAGTCGCCCCTACGTGCAAGCCAAATCAGACGAAGGTCCACGGTGTAGCGAAACAGGAGAAGGCGAATATATCCTGCCAAGTGGATGCAAATCCGCCGGAAGTGCAATTCAAGTGGACCTTCAATAACTCCGCCGAGAGTATCGACGTTGCGGCCGGCCATATCGCGCGAGCTGGCACATCCTCCATCGTCTCATACACACCAATGACGGAATTAGATTACGGAACGTTACTCTGCTGGGCCAGCAATCACATCGGGCAACAACAAGTGCCCTGTGTATATCACATTATACCGGCGGGTAAGGGATCTCTGCATTCATATCATATTTCGCGAAAACGCGGAGCGACGTATCTGCCGATACGCAGCGTGAATTTTCGATTTAGACCAGAAGATTGATCGCCACGACTCGAGTTTGCGTGATGTGGCGTAACAAAATTATGCAAACTACAAATAATTTTTTTTATCAAATCGATAGGTAATATTTCTCGTACTAATTCAATCGAATCCTTCTTTAATTTATGATTGTCCCCTTGACGGAAATGAATAGATAGGAAATGGAAAAAAATCTCTTTTTTCAGAAAGAAGAATATGATAGGAACCAGTGTGGATGATAATTTTAAAATCTTTTTCCCCATATTTTGCATATTAAAAATTTAATAGATTCTTGTACAAAATTAGTTTCTATCCTACGCTTAATTAGCCTACAATTTCATAAATTAGTGAAACTAACAATAAAGTTATATAGTTTTAATCCTTTGGGATTTAAATCTTTCGGGAATTGTAACTGTTATGCTAATTTAGAATTTGGATTTTATTCGCGGTTTCTAAAGTCTCACATTTGCGTAATTAAATAACTAATTCGAATCTTAGTATAAAATTGGACAGGCGCAATTTTTTTGTGTATAAGTTGTTTTAATAAAATCATCCAATTATGAGAAACTTTGTTCGGCTTCGAGTTATAATTAGTTCCAATTAGTATTGTTATAATAGCGACGTGAATCAGATAACGCGATAATGAAGTTGCGAATTATCTCTGAATATCAAAAGTCTTTGAAATGTAGATAAAACTTAAGAAATATTATTACATTGTATATTTCTCTCTCTCTCTCTCTCTCTCTCTCTCTCTCTCTCTCTCTATGCATTCACAGCACGATAGCGCAAAAGAGATCTGTTTCTTTCAATTATCCAACAAATCATTACAATAAATGAACTTGATACTGTTGCTTTTTATATTTCAATTCGACTTAAAAAAATCTAATCTAAGCCCAATGAATATCCATCTGATGCAACGGGCATCCCCGTTATTCTCATATCGATGTTTCCGCCGCATATCGATGCTCGAGTTACCAATTAATTGGGATTCACGGATCCTACTATCGAATTGCGTTACAAAGAAAACGCGTGTACGCGTATACAAGGATAAGCGTATTCCGGACATAGAGGAAAACAGCTCTCGTACCGTGCTCCGTAAAAAAAAAAAAAAAACGAATTCAACGGTGGGCGAGTAAAACGGGGACACCGCGAGAGACGGTAGCAGGTGTCTGATGCGCGCTATGATTTTTCAGCAACCATAAACGTGAAAACAACCCGGGCATATTCCCGCTTATTTCCTTTTCTTTATTCCCCTTTCTTTTTCTTGTCCCTTCACGACGCAATATGCCGTTATCGTTCCGTTCGCGCCCTTTTAACCGGCTTTTACGAGCTGCGAAGTGTACCGTCGGCTAATGCCTTTACGGAAAAAAAAAAAGCCAGACAACCGTATATATCTTTACAGCCGACTCGGTTACAAGTGGCTTGTATGCACCAGCGCACCATGCGCCGGATTTACAGGGCAACTATCACGCCCTGATTCGCGAATCTACCGCACGCGAAACGATATGTTACACAACGCCTACCCCCCTTTTGCGCCGTCTGTATGAAACTATACATCATTTCGACGCGAGAAAAGAACGCATTGAAAGTTGGAGTAAACTGCAGAAACTGCTGACGCTGAAGAGTTACCGCTGTACTTATGTAATTAGTTTCGCTTAAAATTCAGCGCACTTTAATATAACGCAAAAAGTAGAAATAAACAAACTTCGGGTAACTACAGGGAAGTTATTACGCAATTTTTTTTACGCTCGTACTTTGTTTTTCATTCATATTTTTCATTTGTAATTTTTTGATTCCGAACATATCTATATATGGGGCTTTAGAGCTGTACGATTCGGGAGAGAAAAAAAGTTATCCCATTTTTCTAAACTATAGAAAAATGTAGCTTTTATATTGAACATTAACTATTTTTAATAAAAGGCGACAAGCCAGTTTTTTGCGAAATATATATATAAAATTGGAAGGTGAATAGGAAAAATAGTCTTACATTTTTCATTTAATTTAAACGCAAAATTGTTAACAATCGAAAAAGGTTTTTCCTGTTATTGGCATATAAAATAAAAATATTTCAATATTACGTCGTTAATTCATTTATTTCTACAATTTGCTTGGCCAATGCCGAATGGAGACAAGTAAATATAATATTTTAATCTAAACCTGTCAAAGCATCGAACAATATTGTTTTAACAGTTATTTAAAACATTGAAAGAGATTCCGATAGTTATTTTCAAAAAAATTGATATATAAAGCGTCGGTATCATCAATATTTTAAATTTTTATCGCCACGTATAATTCGATTTCGTGCCTTTTTAACATCGACGATCGTTTTTCACTATTCTATTTTCTCTCTTATTATCTCTCTTATCTTACCTAATAATTTCGACGCGCAAAATGTCATCGATTATCGAAAGGGTGCACTTGGGGAGAATTTGAAAGAAAAAATTACCCCGCGCGATATTATCGCGGCTTTGTGGCTATTACGAGCTGTTATGAGCGCGTGAATAGTCTCTCTCGTGCACGCGGCGCATTTTAAAACGCAGGCGAACCTTATCCGTGACAGGCCGCCCAGACATGGTTCACAATTGCACGACCTCGAACACGTCGACCAACTCGTTTTCCGTGCGGTGCACGGAGGGCTTCAACGGCGGCCTGCCGCAATCCTTTCTGCTGGAGGTGCGCGAGAGCAACAGCCAGGAGTTGCGTGCCAATCTGACGTCGCCGGTGCCGCGCTTCAGCGTCACTCACTTGGAGTCCGGCGCCCTTTATCAGGCCTGCATTTACGCCTACAACGACAAGGGTCGTAGCGAGGCAATGGTAGTGCAGGCCGGCACTTTAAGGCTACCGGAAAAACAATTGACGTCCGAGTCAGGTGAGAATATTCCCTTATTTTTTTCTGGAAACCGAGACCAGCGATCACGCCATTTTCACACTGATATTCTCCCGCTAAGAATTGAATTACTTGACGAAATATTTGACGAGAAATATGCGAATACGAATGTATTATGGTAGAAGGGTATGTTCCGATACATGTAGCCTTGTATATTAAAGTAAATTGATACTCGTTCAATATTTCAAAAATTCTTGTTATACAGTGTAACGTTAACAACTTCAAAATTTTCGATATCTTTTGAACAAGCTCCGGTACTCGATTTGCTTGAAAGTTGCGAGAAAGTATTGACTCAAGAGCCTTCACATCATAGTGTGATATGGTTTTCGCATCTTTTTGCTTGCGACACAAAATTTTCTTTGTCGTGAAAAGTCACACGACTATATCGTATTTTTGAAAAAAAAGAATTCGAAACAAAGTCCACATTTCTGGCAAATAAAATTATAAAACTCAATTGATTTTAAAATTGCGATTAATCGACGAGAGATATCGTTCTATATACTGAGATAATATTATATACTAAGAAAAAAAAAATGTAATATTTGTGACTATGCTTGCATGGTAAAATAATTATAGTTAGGTGCTCCATTTTTATGGTTATTACTGCTATAATGTTAGTAATAATAGCCTTAATTCTCTTAAACATGCAAAAATACTATCTATAAATTAGATAATTTCAAATATTAATATAATAAAATATTAAAGTATAAACGTGGTAATTAAAGTAAATATTTCTATTTAGTAAATACAATCGGAATTATAGTAAATATAATTATTTTCTTAAATTCACTTACTATTTGTATGTATAGAAATAATAATAAAAATCCTCAACTTTTATGCTTTGTAGCGTGTTTCTCTTTTTATGGCGCGGTATTCGTGCGCATTCGATGTTATACGCCATATATTAATCCCAAAAGGTTACATGAGATTTAGATAATTACGGAAAAATTCACGTCGATGAGGCAGTGCGAGCGAAAAGCCGCTGCCAATTGGTCGAATTGATGAAAAGCTATCGACTCAATATTAATTCGTCGGGCGAGTAAAAAGCTCCCGGCGCTTTTATGACTCGACGCGAAAAATCGGGTCAGCAATTGGCAATTTAATACTACCGGACGGACAATTTTCCCGTTGTTTGCCTGATGCGATTGTTATCGTAATTTTTAATTCGTCCACCACCGGTGTCCGGGATCGTGTTTTATGTATATCTCTATTAAAATAAAATGTGGCCGGCTGTATTTAGGGCATTACTCGATGCATTTCGGAATGTGCAAACAAGTCAAGCGTGACACCTATGCCACATACTTTTTGTATTTTTATAAAAACCAGGTTTGTTGCGTTATTAACATTTTGTATAGCATGTTATTGTATCGTGTAATTCGTTAAAAATCCGAACGCCACGTTAAAATTTTAAAAAGTGCTTAAAAGGGTTTTTATTAACATTTAGTACATATAATCGTGTCCTGTATATTTCTTTTCTTCGAAAAACTAGTAATTAGTTATAACATTTGTATACAATTTTTTAAAATACATAATTTTACAAATATTTTCTAAAGGTGTTAAAGTATATGTAAGAATTATTTAATAATTTTTGTATATTTGTTAAAATGATGAAAAAATTAACCCAGGCACGAATAATCCACCGTAAAAGGACCAGAAAATCATCGTATATACTAAGGATTAAAGAGAATGTCATTTGTGTTTGAAGTGTATGTAACTGAAAGCTGTTTAAAATAATTTCATGATAATATTATATCGATTTTGTGTTCGATGTCGATCGCTTTTTATTCTCAATTCTTCAATTATGGGCATTGCAGAACGACCGAGGCAACACGACAACCTGACGCCGATGCTGAGCGTGACGATCGGCGTTGTGATGGCCCTCATTATCGTCGCGGTTATAGTGATGGTCGTCTTACGAATTCAGCACACGCACGTAGAGGAGCAGAACAAGTCACAGATGGAGGATCATGCGAAGCAGACGAAGGCCGTTCCCATACAGAGGGAACTACGATTCCGAGAGGGATGCAGTTTGCTCGCGGACGAGAAGCATCCCAGCAGCCCGTTCAGAAAGCTGGAAACCAGCGGCGATCTCAGTGAAAGCGACGAGAAGAATCCTGACATTATTCCACAGCAAATTACTGGTTCGTATCTTCGCAATTTCTGTAGTAATTCTAAAATTGGTAAAACTACAAAAATGTGCTAAAAATCATATTACAACGAAAAACTTAAAAACAAATTAACAAAAGTCGAAGATACATACCTTTGTCTTTTTAAATATAATTTTTCTTGGAAAAACATAAAAATCTATATATATATAAATTAAAGGAGTAAGCGATTTGTAAATTATAAAGTATCTTATTATTGGCGGAATCAGAAATTTGATTACAAGCGAAATTTTTTAAAAATTAAATATAAAACGATAAAATTATATCAATTAATATTAAATATTATTTTAATTTTTACATTGAAAAATTATTATTTAAATATATAATTCGTTTTAAAATATAGAAAACGTTTTATTTAAAATTATATTAATACAAGAAAAGAATAATATAATAGAATTTGTTTTTTTTTTATATTTAGGAATTTCTTAAATTAAAAAATATTTTTGAAATGTCAGAGTTGTGATTAAGCATTTAAAAAATATTAAAAATATATAACGTTTTCCTGTATAAATATTTTTGAAAACTTAAAGTCTTTATTTTTTAAAATATTTATGGCATGACTTTCATGGCTCCCCCGTGGATCCGCTAAGCGCACTTCCAAAGCACACTTTCTTCAATATTGAAAGAAAATCTCGTCGAGTGCGCTACCATTCATTTTACGTGGTTGTTTCGGAAATTTTCTCGTTCGTGTTTATACGGTCGTAAAACTCCGTGGCGAAATTTGGTGGTTGTAAAACTGTCGTGAAATTTTTCCGTAGGTGATGAGCCGTCGGAATATTTAAGGAAGAGACGTCTGGTATCAACGATCGAGACGTCACCATCAAGAAGCCTTCTGGAGCACTCAACGGTGACTTCCATCAGCGGACACAGCAGTTACGTCGGATATTGCACGATCCGCAATGGCATGCCACTGCACGAGTTCTCCAACTTGTCAACGAAGCACAAAAGCGTGAGTTCCATTAAAGATTTGATAATGTAAATGTCGTACAAATATCTCGTGTAGATATTTAACGAAATAAGAAAATAGCTTACATCGATAACAATTGAGTATCGTGCAATTAAAAGGATGATTGCAAATTCAGGATTAGATTAAACAATAAATGACATTGTCGATTGATACGTAAAAAGCACAATTAAATAAGAAAATATTTTAACTAGAGCTTAACTGGATGTTAGTGCTTAATATGAATTTATAGATATCCTGTTCTATAAACTGCGTATCGATTTAATTTTCTTGAAATGCAATTTAAAACGCAAATCACAAATTAAATTTACAAGCAACTTGATAGCGATACTAAACGTTTTTTAAAAATACTATAAAAAATTTAATTTGTGATATTATCCCAGTTTAAAACCGTATCTGATATTTCAACACCGAAAGTGTTGCGTTTCAACACCGTAAATGAAATTATCGCGCAGTTTATAGATATTTATATAAATTCACAACGAAATATTAGCTTAAAATCCACTAAAACCGAATAAGACATTTCCTATTTAAATATCCTAGTTAAATAATTAAATTGAGTACCAATGAGATACAATGATAATGTCTTGCGATTCTCTCTCTTAAACAATTACATACATAACTTTATATGCCTATATTAATTCATCCATAGATGTATCTTCGAAAATCTCTGAAAATTATGAATGACGCGTTTCAGTTTCAGCCGATGGTGGGCGACGTCTATGAGAGCGGTATGTGTACCCTACCCAGGCAACATTGGCCGAGCCAAAGCGTTCAATCGATGTCGATGACAATGAGTCCTCCGATATTGTACGCCGGTCTAGGCGTCGTCACCAGGACCTGTCCGAGCGGCACACTGCCGACGAAGGACTGTGAGACACGAGTGCCCGGCCAGTGTTGTCCAGCGATCCAGACGCAGAAGGACGCGACGATAGGCACGCCAGTAGTGATGGCCAAGAGGGAGAGCTCTGTGTGACCCTACACCCACCACGGGGCCTGCACCTGCAGCGTGAGCGAGTTGCTGTGAATCACGCCGTTGTCAATCGCGAGATAGCCGCGGATCCTGGATGACACGAGCGCCCAGGAAACGTTCGGGAGATGTCTACAGGTCACGCGAAAATTGGAACGTCTTTTAGGAACGAAGCTTCAATTTAAATTCCGAAAGACGTTTGGACAATATATATTATCGTTATTTAGATCTGAAAATTGAGATGTCTCCTTTGAACGATTTGTAGGGGGAAGTTTTCTTTTACCAAACTGGAATATCCCTCCGACGTCGCTTGTGTCGTCCGGAACGCTTTGGGCGTGCGAGCCGGTTTGAGTTCGACAGATTCATGTTTCCACTCTATGACAAACGTCACGATTTGCGTCTCTCTGTTGAATCAAGTGCCCTTTTTACACTGAAAAACGACGAACATCCCGACCGGCTGATCTGCCGGCTTCTCTCATCTCGTGTGCGTAGCCTCGTGATCGAGCCCCGGTGGAACCAAGACGGGCACCTTATATGGTGGAGAGAAAGAGAGAGAGAGAGAGAGAGAGAGAGAGAGAGAGAGAGAGAGAGAGAGAGAGAGAGAGAGAGAGAGAGCATACGAAAATGTGCGTGTGCGCGAGCTCACCAGCTTGCCGCACATACTCCTGTATATACCTCGAGACACGGAAGATATTTTGTACGAGTCGCGTATATTAACGATTTATTCCCACTTTTACTATGAACACAACACTGTACAATTTGTCTAGTCGATGTAAGTATAAATATGTATATGCGTTAAAGTCGTCGGGGAGGCGTCAGACCAGAATAACGTACACTGAGGGGGATGATCATCACCGTCGCGTCACGCGGGTCACGCCGCACGCGCGATATAATTATTTATAACGTTGACAATGCGTAAATGCGAAATAGCGGGACTCTCGCAGGTACGGGAGAGAGAACTGAGTGAGGGGGGGGGGAAGGGGAGAGGCAAAGTTGTCAGAGACATATCGTTTGTATCTCCATCCGCGGGGATCGAGTACGAGACGAGGCGTACGAAGAGCAGCGAAGTAATGAGACGAAAGACGAAGAAAGAGGAAAGAATGATGAAGACGAAGAAAAAAATAAAATAAATATCCCCGTTGCGCTTTCGTCTCAGTCTGCAGGATTCTGGATTTCACCGTAATATTAAGTATCTCTTGTACAATGTATAAAGTAACGACTTCCTCTTCGAAGTAAATGTACCGAGTATGATGAACGTTGTTTTTTCAAAGTCTTGAATCTTACTCTATATAGAGAGATGCCCCCAATTAAAAAAAAAAAAAAAGTGTGGTACAGTAATCGCGATAGCACTTCTAACTTACTGCCTGTTTCGACGCTTGTGAATCTCGTTGGTAACTTCATTTGGCAGAGGTTTCCCGACCTCTTTGTATCATATAGCTTTAAAATGAAAAAAAAAAGAAGAAGAAGAGAAACGAAGGTTCGTCGAAGGGCGCCTCGTCATATCCTCCGTACGATACAGGGATAATCTCATCGTTGATTAGAGCGGCCCGAGTCGCGTCTCTGGCTACCGGGTTGCTAATTCGCGAAAAGTAAGGTGAAAATTGACCATGTAGCCTTTCCCTTGATATCGAGCAGTCGATTACTGGGCGGTGCATTTTCAGCTATATATTATTACGTGAGACGCGCGTCAAAAGTCTCTCCTTTTCGGGCGAAGTGATAATACCCCGTACTTTGCTTCGATCTGTACAGATTGATTTTTCGCGTATAGGATTTACGCTCCAAGCACGCGACGATCCTTCTGCGACTGCAAGGACTCACGTGAGAGTCAAAATGCCCTTCATACAGCGTGAGAAGAAGAGAGAGATCTTTCGATGTTCACGTATTATATCTAAATAAGATCGTCGTGTATCTAATCGTTCTAGAATTCGATAACATAATCGTAATTAATCCGATGATAAATGATCGCAAATTTTTTCTGACATTTACCAGCGCGTTTTTACGCTCTCTGAAGCAGCAATATCGATCTAGTTTAGGAAACTAGAACAGGAACACGAGACGAAACTCTTTCAAACGTGTTTCGAGAGCGCGAAAGTTAACTTAACTTTTTTCATCGCATTGTTCCTTTTACATTTTAATTATTAAGCATTAAATAATTTTCCGTCTCTTTATATAAGCGAGTTTTATCTTCGAACGGAGTCACGATTTCTGTCTCTTTTGACGCGACCAAGTCATCAAAAGCCAAAAGTTTCGTTGAAGCAGCACGGTATTTGTCTACCAGATCGAAACTTCGCGTAAATTGACTATAAAGGGAATGTAGGTTGTGACTGTTTGCAGTCGCGTCGTCGTTGCAGTCTGTTATACGTGCTTGCAAATGAATATGCATAGGAGACGGTCCTCACACACGGGCGAAGCATCCGCGTTTCCGTTCGCCGTGGGAAACGACAGGTGATTATCGGGGATACTTAGCGAATTATTCGATGTGTAAGGAACGTAGAAAACGGCGAAGTCGAAGATTTTATGAGCCGTAAAAAGCTATCACGAGAATTTCCAGGGCGAACACGTTGTTTTCTCGATCGCTTAGATGTTACGTTAACGCGTCGCTCCCGTGAAGATCTATTAACATTTAAAAAAAAAAATGAGATGAATCGTTGATTATTATTATTACTGCCATTAATGGAATTGATGTCGGAACATTGTGAGTGTATGTTGTCGAAGAGAATTTTTAGTAATCGTTGATACGCAATTGATACGCGCGTTCCTCCACCTCCATACAATATAAAAGAATGTTGCAACAAAGAGATTCTGCGATCCGACGACGGGGAAATGTCACAGGAACGAAAAACGTACAATAAAAACCTGGATCCAAACTGCCAAAGTTTTCTATACTTCGTTCGTACGTATAATATCACTATATACGCCCACTATACTATGAGAAAAAGTGTGAACTTTTTAATAAATAAATAGATTTTTTTCTAACGAAAAAGACACACGATTGTCTGAGAAAATATATTTATTAATTCCATTTTATCAGTACGTTTAAATCCGAGGAAACAAAGAAAAAATCAAGAGGAAAAAAAGAAAGAGAGAAAGAAAGAAGATAAGTCATCATTTTTCCGTATCTTGCTTGCGAGACAGTTGGTTTCCAGGGCACATCTCTACTTTCCGCTGTTCCGGTGATCCGGAACCTTTCGGCCATCAAACGCGTCGCGAGGCATAATATCGCAAGGCGGTGGCCAGACATTATTATCTGCAAAACGATTAAACGATATTTGTCAGCCAGCACTGGAAGATTAACGTGAGTGTCGATGTTCAATCGCGCATGAATCGTACAGTTAATCCTCAGTGAAAACATGATATCGACGTCGATCGCACTCGTTTCAATGTAACTTTAAGTATCGATCGAAAAATGAGACATGTCAAGGGGACGTTGTTTTTTTTTTGTTAACTTTTTTTTAAAGATAAGAATGCATTTTGCCTGCACTGTTCCGTATGCGTCACTGCCTGTATATCGTAATAATGAGACCGGATCTGACCAGCCGCCGCTTGCGCGAGACAACATTGAAGTTTGTATATGTACTTAGTTTAGGACTATCTCCGACATACACACAAACACACACACACATACATACATATACACGAATCTCATGTACCCCAGAACGTTTTTTTGATATTGTAAATATTCTGAAATAAATAATCGTTTTTATTCACGCGACTCGCGTGATTATTGTGTTCCTCAGCGATAATATTCGCAGGGATCAACGATGATTCCCCTACAGCACAAAGTTGCACAAAAGTTGCAGCAATATTGCAGAGATTTTGCAGCGATATTCCTGCAAATTCTGTGCTGTGTGAGTTTGATCAGTTTTTTTATCAACGTCGTAAACCTATTAGTTCCTTTGTTAAGTTCACAGATATAAAATGCGTACCTGCTATGTCGAAAACAAATTTTGCAAAGTATCTGTTACAAAATCCAACGGTAGAATGCCAGCAAAAATATAATAAAATATAATAGTAAATTGATTGATATAGAAATCATGTATAATTTACAATTTTGGAATATATCATTTATCATTTCATTGTTATTATTAATTTATTATTATTCCATTTCATTATATATTTTATTCAAATGATTACGAAATATTTTCACGAAACAATTAATTCTGCTCAAATTTCTACTGGCAATCTGTCGTAAAAGATTATGTCGGCACTACTGGCAGAGTATGAGATAAAATCGATGCCAATCCAGCGCAATAATCTTCTGAAATCTACTGGTATACAGCTAACATTTTGCTTACTCGGTGTACGTCAGTACGTGTAATTCTTACCGTCCCAGAATGCACTCGGCGACGCATCGGAATATATTTGCAAATGCTCCTCGACGGTTTTGAGCACGGGCGAATTCACGTTCAAGAGAAACTCGAGAACTGTGCTCTCGGGGAGATACGCTTTGTCTCCCAAGTTCAGTAGCACGTCTTGAACGTCGATCGACTGTAAAATCGAATGAAACTAGCGTCACGGGATAGAATGGAGGAAATTCTTAGCTTTATATGTTTAGTATCTCGGATTCAAAATCCTTCTTTTCCCCCCTTTCCCCAATAATTCTTTGAAGCCTCATCAAACCTCTGTTCAACATCCGCACAGAGTGTTGGACGTTTTATATCTCCCTTAGATCTCTGTAAAATTGCGAACCTTTTCGTGCACCGCTTTTGCAATATACTCGCATAACGTGTACACCTTTATTAGACAGTTTGAGACTTGCTTTAGAATGTCATCCAATGTATGAGCTTCTAACGTCCCTATTAAAGTCAGCGGTATCATGTAGACGTGGCACCATCCTGAGAAGAATCTCTGCAAGTGCAATATATGTATGTGCAATCTTTTTTTTATGTACATCCACATGCACTACATATCAGGTCACCGACTTGATGAACGTGATGATACGAAGGCAAAGGAATTGCTTTTTCGAATTTGCATTTATCGTCGTCCATGGCGTACATAAGCTCGTAGTGCTTATAAATGATGTCTTCCCACGCCTGTCAAGAAAATAAATCTCTGCCTTATTTTCATTTTTTTCTTTAAAAAATGAGTAGATGAATCACAAATGAGAATCGCAATTATCAAAGAAAAATTTTATGATTCGAAGGTTTGCAAGTTAAATACATAATAATTTACTTTAACATTTTCTTCTCTTATAATGTAACATTATATAATACGAAGATAAAAATATTGAAATACCTCCAATATGTGAATATAACATGATGGATAAACAAGGAATAGTCCTGTAATGGGCATATTATTGTAATCCACGCGTAAATCCCGTATAATATTTTCCATTCTCTACAAAATATAAATTATTTAAAAAAATGCTTTTCAATCGTAACTTGTGTAATTATAATTTGAATTAGTATTGTTTGTAAATATAAAAATATTATCTCTGTACAATAGGAACATAAATTATCTTTGACAATTACTTATTATCTTCGTTGAATATTGCTGTTAATGTCGCTAATTATATTTGCTATAATTTCTCAAAATTCAATAGTTTGTTTTCGGAGATTATTACAGTATCATAATTATATAAAACTCTAAGAAACAATATATACAATTTACACTTGTACCTTTGGTAAAACTTCATGAGTTCCGTGATATTTCCCGATGTAAACGACTCGCGTAATGTAAGTTTTCTAAAAAGAGAATGTGACGTATATTTCAAGAAAAAACTATGTAAAATTTACTATATATATATAACTTATAATTAATACCATTTCTGTTTAAACTTTAATATTACAAATATTTTATAAACAATATTTTTATACGTAAAAGTTTTATGTCACCGTTTCAGTACTATTTTGATTAAAAATTATTAATTATAGATACACATTAAACAATAAAATAGTACAACTTACGTAACCAATGGCGCGAAGATTATATTGTATCACATCTAAAACGCTTTTTCGCACTGGTTCGGTTAATGACGCCATTGGAAGTTTCTCAACATGTTTTTTCTTACTAGCCATTAATGCGTGCTATATTCTACTGTTAACTTCGTAAATTCGTCTGTCACATAGAAGCAGAAATTCTGCGTATATTTTTAATATGACAACGTAATGACGGTGATGGTGAAAAGAGCGATCTGAACGTTTAAAGAATTCCTGTTCAACGAGAATGCTTACTTTGAAGCTATCTTCGTTACTGCAAGTTTTATATACGCAGTGAATAAAATGGCAAATACACATCCAGTATCATGAATACTTGAATAGCTACATAAATCTGCGCCAAAAATTGAGCTATTCTCCAGCTCGTATAAATAAGAATAAAAGGATAAAAGGTAAAAGTGAAAAACATAAATTGGTAATGCTTTCGGATGAAGGACGATCAATATATGTATCAAATAAAATGGCCAAATAATTTGTTTTTAAATCAGATCTCTAAAAATATATTTATCAGAAATTTCTACACTTAATGATAAGTTGTTTTCACAAACCAGAGATCCATGAAATCTATATAATTACGTAGAATCAAAATTTAAATCTAAATATGTAGTATCAAAGAATCACTATGAAAAACTAAAGTGACAAGATTATGCAATAAACGATTTTGCATTTTAATTCCGCACGAAAGTATATCAGTTTACGCGTTATCACAATCGAGTTAAAATTAATCATTATTTATATTATCGCGCTTATTCTAAACATTATCTATTAAATCACATTGCTAAATTGCGAATAATTCTAATTATTTTTTTGCTATAATCGGCAACAACGGCGGTGTCGGCTCGCTAGGATTACCTAGCCACACGGATTTACTAAAGCGTCCCTTTATAACGGGCGCTTGCCACTTGTTACTGGACACGACGGTAGCCGTCGGTTTCTCCGCCGTGACCGTGGCTACGCTTACAGTCCTGAAATAGTAATAAAGATTATTTAAGAGTATATGAGTGAAAAGATCGCGTACTAAGCGTAATAGTGCGAACTAAGTCCCTGATTTAACGAATTGAAATAAAACTGTTTACAGAACATCACGAAACGAGGTAATAAAACAAGAATATTTTCATTACACGCATTCCTTAGGAAAGAAACAACTACTGTGGTGAAGAATTTTTACACGGAACTTTAGTAGAACAAGACAGGAGAAAATGAAAAGGTATTCGTAATGCACAAACAGCATTTATTAATGAAAAACGTGTTACAAATCTTTTTAAGCGCCGTTTATTTTTTAATAGTAAATTTACGAAAAAATAATTTCTTCAAATTTGAGTATGTATTAATTGAGTATATGTATTTACTCCGCGGAGCTTACTATAATAATACATACTGATTCTATTCATATAATCCACCCATATCCTCACAAATTATTTATATACTTTATATCAGAGCCTTCCAACTCGCGCACCGCATACACGAAATTTCGTGCCTGCGGTGCGCGAGTTGGAAGGCTCTGCTTTATAATTATATATAAATTGCTTTACGTGACCAACATTTTGCAACATTAAAAAATTTTAATAAACAATGTGACGAGATAATTGAGATGAATTTGTCATAAAAAGAATAATTTTAATAAAACATAAAATTATAAAAAAAATTACAAGATGATATAATAGTAGCAGTGTATTTATCACATTGTAAATGTGTGATTGTTTCAGAGAACAAACCCAATGTTAAAGACGCGATTATAATAATAAGTCATATAAACACAAGATAAAACAATAAAAATAGATGGAGAACATAGGCGAATCACAATTTTCATGATAACGATTGTACACTTTATGTTTTCTATCTGGCAAAAACTAGTGCGTAAATAAACACAAAATAATTCATGATTGTCTATTCTATAAATTGATTAGGTCTTCTAATGCCAAGGTACTTGACTTGGATGACTGATGGTACCCAGTTTGTAGTACCTGGTGGTAGATGGCATCTGTTGAGCTGGTGTAGACGAACTCGGTGGAGTCGCTACGATGGGAGTTTCAGCACCCTGAGCTGGAACACCGTCTCCTTTGAGAACAGAGATGCATTTCCAATGGTTAATGAAATTATCCTTCCACAATCGGACGCAACCATCATCGCCGGAACTTGCTAAAATCGTTCCCATACAGTTCCAGCTAACACGCCAGACGGTGCAGTAATGATCATCAAACTGTGCAACTACATTCGTTTCAAAATGCGACACACCGGTCTGTGTACTTTCGCTGAAAAAAAAAATATACATTTACTTTCCCGCTTGCTTATTATTTTTTTATGCAATTTTGAACAATTTTACTTACTCCGTCGGTTTTAAAGTGACTATCCGTACATCTTTTGTAGCTATGGCCAGTGTGTGAAAATTTCTGCCTAAATTAGGAGCAAACGCAATGTCGTAAACGGCATCCGTAATGCTCGATAATGTTTCGGCCTTCACCCAACGCCTACTGTTCTCAGAATATTCGTAAATAAAGATTTTTGCTCCAAGTGTAGGATTTGGATCGTCGCTGCCGACTGCTATCATAGGCGGATGTAGTCTAAAGTATATTTTTACCAAATATTAATACAAGCATATTAAGGGGCCGATTCTATAACTCTTAACGATAGTCGTTGACGTCGTTGCGCAGATATTATGTACAGTAAAAAAGTTGCGCAGTGACATCAACAACTATCGTTAAAAGTTACAGAATTGGCCCCTAAATTGATGTTATTTTATCTTATACATTAGATCTTATTATTATTACACAATACATTATTAGGTTTTAATTATTATGTAATAAATTATATTTTTAATATCAATAACAAAAATTTTTAAAAAATTAGGAGATAAGAGCACACTTGCCTGGAGAGAGATGGATTCCATGTAAGACAACTACATGAAAGTTTACAGTTGATGTCATGTTGTAACGTCCACTGGCTCAAATTCATGATATCTGGTGCTTCATATATCCGAATGAATCCATCTGCACTACAAGTGGCCAGAAGAAGGCCTAAAGTCTTTGGTGCAAACTTTACATCTGTGACGGAAGTACGTGAATCAACTAAATTTGTTCTTTTAATCCAATGTTTGCTGCCACGAGCTTCTGGTCCTGAACCTTCGCCAACTGTCAAGAAAAAGGAAAGACATAGGGAACAGTAGAATATAACGTCAAGCTTAGAAACATGGAAGAATAAAACAAAATCTATCATACCAATTTCCTCCCAAACAGCAGCGGTGCGATCAAATGAACATGTGGCGAGAACTTGACCAAATTCTGGATGTGCCCAAGTAACTTTCCACACTGATCCACTGTGGGCCTTCCAAGAAGCAGTTAAATGCCAGTTTCCATGCTCATCTTCATCCCAAACCTGTAATGTTTCATTAAACCTATATTTCATAAATAAATATATATAATATTTCATAAATAAATATATATTAATAGAAATTTTTATAAAAATTTATTTTGAATTATATATTTAATATCTATATTTAGCGACAATTAAGTATGTATACTAGGAAGAATCTAAATCGTATGTCTATAAGTCTGTTTTTTATAATTTAACTAGTACACACACTTTTTGAAATTAAAGTGAAATAGATATAAACTGATAAATAAAATATTTATGTAAGCCTTTATGATATTGATGCTTAAATTAGTTATTCATAACACGATAGATACATAAATCACAATCAGTCGAAATGTGTTTACCAAACAAAGTCAAAGTAAACGCAAACATTACGAGTTGTGTCTACCGTGTTATGAATATATAATTTAAACGTATCAACATCCATAGATGCTCACATAAGTGTTTTACTTGTATCAGATGTATTCTTGGAGTCCACAAATATTATTATTTTATTTTAATTTAATTTCAAATAAGTTTAATATTTGGTGAAAACGAGAAAGAAAGTTCTATAGTGCAGTCTAATGCAAGAATAAAAACAGACCTGATCCCTTCGTTTACTGTACCTTTACAAATTGGTCACTGGAGCACGTCGCCATTCGTTCCCCATAGTAATCGTAGGCGATATCGTGTATGAGATCTTTGTGCTCTGCATTGATGCTGTGCGCCTCGTACATTGCGAACGAAATAAATGTCAGTGATATACACTCTCGTGAGAAATTGTTTACTAAACGCGCTACACGTTGAAGGTTATGACACAGCGTGCTCCGTGTCGACACTGTCGACGTCTGTCGGCACCAGTCGGCACCAACAGAATTATGGGTGCTCGAATCTGCTCGAATCTACGCAAGGTATGTGAATAGCAACGCTGTCTACAGGGTGTCCCGATCTTTTTTTGCCAATCACTTTTGTGTAGATAAAGCGGACTAAACTGAGTCGAAAGTCCTCTACCATTTTGCAATTTTCGCAATAGTGTGTTAACAAGATATTAATTACTAAAAATTGCAAAATATTGATCTTGAATAATTTTTTACTCAAATACTATCAACTTTACAGAAAAACTGCAAGAGACAAAAATTATTTATTTTCTTCTTATAAAGTTCTGAGAATTTTTTCAGAATTTTTTAATACCGTATTTTCTCATGTTGGTAAAAATAAGAAAATGCAGTACTAAAAAGTTGATAAAAAATTCTGAAAAAATTCTCAGAACTTTATGAGAAGAAAATAAATAATTTTTGTCTCT